CGGGAGGAGCAAAAGTGTAAAGTCTTGGTCAGGATTCCTACTGGCAACAGGACAGACTTTGCTGTGTATTAATACTTTTTGTACGTCTGCCAGGAAACCACTCAGTGGGAGCATTATTTGAGAAATGCAGAAAGGAAATCAACTGATATTCTTATGTACGACATAATTTATTATATACTATATAATCAATGACAGCTGCTACTGAAATACATATACACACTCTATATATGTATATATGATCTCCCCAAACACACAGAATAAAACAAAACACACATCCCAGAGTCTGAACGACCACATTCTAGCCTGCTTTCCCTGGGCGCAAAGGCCACTGGGACCACACCAAGGGAATTTCATCCCTCCTAAGCTATGCATTGATGGAGGGAGAAGAGTCTGGTGCCAGGAAAACCATTAGTGCATGAGATTTCTATCAGGAGCATGGATTTGAGAATCTGCTGGAAGAGAGCCCTGTTCACCATAGCCTTCCAGAGGTTAGTTCACTCCTGTCCCCAGCACTGTGGGACCCGCTTTGCAGCCCTCTGCATAGCCTGTGGCCGATGAGCTCAGCTGTTTGGCCGAATACTAACCATGTGGGTTCTCCCAGCCAGAGGTACAGTGAAAACTGCTCCGCAGTTAGCAACGGCACCCATCTTCGGCACCCACCCCCAAACCAGGCCAGCCTTCTCAAAAAGTTCACGCAGGGGTAATTTTAGTTCTGAGGGCAGAGAACGTAATGTCTCAGGTGGTGGAGAGGCCACGGTGGCATTCATGAAAGCAGGCAACCGTCTGACCCGCCCAACACACAATCCAATCACAACAAAGCCACAGCCAAAGCTCAGGGCCATGACTCAGCCTCCCTCCCAGGGCACTGGCTCCTGGTACCGTCTCGCCAAAACCCAGAGAGAGCCTTACCCAGAGAAAAGGCGTTTAACCTTGGCCACAGAGCTCAGTGGAAAGTTTTATTACTTATCATGGTTTAAAAAAAAAAAAGGATAGATTAGACTTTTGAAAATAACCTGCCTCCCTGTGGGAGGTGGTGGGATGAGCAAAGGAAGAGAGGAGATTAGGTGGAGATGGGGAGCATCCTTCAGGGCCCAGCCTGTAACGGCAAGAACTGCTAATGCCCATCCCTTCAGAACATCGCCCAGAGTTTACGAAGCCTCGGAGAATAGGGAAATAAACAACTGCAGCCCAAATCTTCCACCCTGAATAAGTACCAAAAACAACTACCCGAATTAAGGCCATCCGGAGCACTCAGTCCAGGTGGTGAAAGCAGGGAGCTAACGAGGCCAAAGCTGCGGCTCATACTTACATAAGGGCCAGGCAGACTCAGACAAAGAAAGCAACTGTGCCCTGGCCACAGCCAGAGCCCTGCCCACCAGCTGTCTCACAAATCAAACCTGTGGTCGCACAGGGGACGAGACACACACGGGGGGAGATGACTCAGTGTGCACTCTGCCTCATTCCAAGAAACACGCAAAGAACACCTCCTACTGACGCTGGCTAAGACGTGCTCTGCAGAGAGAAAGACAAGCCCACCTGTCCACCCCTGCCTGACAGCGACATGCAGAAAGCTGCAATGAGTGAACTCCATTTCCTTCAAGCCACAGCTCAAAAGCCGCCCCCTCAGAGGCCTCTGGTGACATCAGAGGGCAGGTGCGGCCCACACCTTCTCCCAGCCGCCCACCACCGCATCGGGTCCAGGGAGGGAGCATCTGGTTTCCTAACTTCTCAAGTTATGACTGCGAGTCCCCATGGAAAAGGGCTGTGTCTCTCAATCCTTTCCCCCAGGACAAGCTTGGAAAGATAATTACTAGGAAAATGTTGGTCTGGATGACAGACGTGGCCTCTGCCCTTGAGGACGGTGGCATCTCAAGACAGTTGCCTCCTCTCTTGAACACCATAGAGGGAACTGGTCCAGGAGCAAAGGCTGGCAGGTGACGATAGCAGCAGCCACCGCTGACCTGGCCGTCCTCACATGCAAGCATAACCTTGAAAAACACTTGCTCATTAGACCCTCCCCACAACTCCCTGAGGCCAGCAGTGTCATCCCGACTGAACTGAGAAAACGGGCTCAAGATACTAAGTAACTTGCTTGAGGTTATGCAGCTTGGGAGTGGCAAAGCGGGGATTCACCCAGGCACTCTCAGCCGCACCAAATACTGCCTCCTAAGGTAGCAGGGGCTGGAATGCAAATGTACACACAAATGGAGAGACGCCTAATATCCTAACACAGGTGGATTTCTGATGGTGTCAGGTGTAAAATAGGAGCTGAACGAGGGGGAAGTTTGGAAAGAGGGAGGAGCTTCCACTCAGGAATAGGTTATTAATCTCGATCACACATTCTCAACAGGGGCTGTATCGCCTCCAAACAAGAGGCAGCGGCAGATTTCGTAGGCTAGGCCTAAGGTGAGAGTGGAAATTAAAATCAATTCAATAGTATGAGTTTTAGGTTATTGGGTTTGGGGAACAAGAAAACCCTACTCTCATGTCTAAAGCACAGACATACATGTAATACACAAACAGATGCATAGGATACCTGTAGAATTAAATCCATAGAGGGGGCGGGAATAGTCATAGTTGATAAGGTATAAAGAATAATGAAACCACACCTGCATACCCACCACCAGCGTAAGACAGCCAGCCCATCAGTGCTTAAACAGCCCTAGGTATCTCCCCGCTTTCTATCTACTTCCCTTCCCAACCAGATGTTACCACTATCCAGAAATTTATTTTAATGGTTAATTCATTTTTCATTGTAGTTCTGCACATGTATCGTTTAGCTTGCACACTTCTGAGCTTTCTATACGTAGAATCTTATCTGATGCATTTCTCTGCAACTTGCTTTATTAGCTCAATGGTATGATCCAGAAATTCATCCATGTTGATAACTATAATTCATTCTATTTCATGAGATGGATTCACTACAGTTCACCTGCTTCCCTGTAAGCAATGTTTGGATTGCTTCTGGCTCCTTTATTATCACCAACATCCCTGCAATGAACATCCTGGCACACACCCCCTGGTTGGCAGAAGATATTCTCCAGGGAGCATGTCAGGATTAGCAGTGATAGCTGTGGGGTAGATGCCTCTTTGACTTTTCTAGGTAACATGTTACTAAGCAGTTATATCAATATATATTCACGCCCTCTCCGTATGAGTTCAGGTGGCTGCTTGATGTCGTCAGGGGATTTTTGTTTTCTTTTTGCCAAACTAGAAAGCATGAAATATTACAGTTTTAAGACGCATTTGCTTGATTGCTAATGAAGTTGAACACTTTTTCATTAATTTATTGGTCATGTGTTTCCTCTTCATCTCTTTACTATTTTTCTATTAAGTAATCTGTCTTTTTCTTATGAAATTTCTTTATATATTCCATATGCCAATCCTTCGTGAATTTGCAAATAACATTTCCATCAGTGACTTGCCTTTTTACTTTCTTTATTGTGTCTTTGGATGAACACGAATTTTAATTTAACTATGTTAATTTTAATATACTTAAATTTATCAATGTTTTCCTTTATAATTTGTACTTTGTGTCTTATGTAAGTAAGAAAGCTTTCTCTACCCCAATATCAAGAGATATTCTCCTACATAATCTTCGCTAAAAATACTTTTGGATTTCATGTTAAGTCCTTAATGCTCCTTGAAAATTATTATGTACAGTATGAGGTAAATATTCATTTTTTAAACATGGCTAAACAATTGTGTCGGCACTATTAATTGAATAATTCATCTTTTCCACCCAGACCTGGAAGGCCAGCTCTGTCATAAAACACGTTTCCATCTATATGTAGTTATTTTTCTAGATTATATTCTGTTCCATTGGACTATTTGTCTATCTTGGTGCCAATATAACAACATCCTAATATTTATGTCTTTATAATATGTCATAACATCTAGTAGGGCATATCATCTGATTTTGCTATCAATCTTATGCCACCTTCATTAAAATGATTCTGAGAATGCTCCCTCTTTCTCTTTTCTGAAAAATCCTGAAAAAGATTCAAATTACATATACTTTGGATGTTTGGCAGTATTGGTTTATTAGACTAGTGAAGCTTTTTTTACAAATAGATTTTTTAACTGATTTATTTTCATGGTTACAGTATTATTCAGTCTTTCTATTTCTTTATGAGTCAGTTTTGTTGTTATATTATCTAGAAATTTGGTTTGCCAAAGTTTTCAAAATCGTAACTATGAACTTATACACAATATCCTATTATTTCATCTCTGTAATATCTATGGTTTCCATCCCTAACATTGGTTATTTGTGTATTCTCTTTCTTGATCAATCTTGTCATTGATTATGTCATTAATTTCTGCTCTTATTTTTGTTCTTTCTTTTTTCTTTGCTATTTTTTTTACCTGTTCTTTTCTAACTTCTTAACAGTTGCATGCTTATCTCATTAATTTCAAACTTTCTTCTTTTTTAAGATGAGTATGCAGGGTTATGGCTTCCAATTAAGTACCACTCTACCTGTATCCTACAAATTTTGGCAGCTAATATTTTCCATTCATTTTCTAATTTCTAGTAAGTTTTCTTCTTTGACCTATCAGAGTTATTTAAAAGCATGTTTTCTTTTTTAATTTCTAGATAAATTAGAGTTTCCAGGTCATCTTGTTGTTATTGCTTTTCAACTTAATTTCACCGGGATTAAAGAAGTTAACCTATATAAAACACATCCTTTGAAATTCGTTGAAAATCACTTTATGGTCTAGTATGTGGTCAATTTGTATAAATATTCTATGTGTTCTTAAAAAGAAAAGAATGCGGGTTCTCCAGTTGTGCAATGCAACAACTTTTATACATATGAATTCTTCATATCAAGCTTATTACTTGTATTTTTCCTTATTGGGCTTTTTTTTCCTCCATAGGAAATCACCTCACATCTTTACCAGGCTCCCAAGGCTAATATTCTGGTCTTCTGATTTCCAGCTCAGAACCCTTTCTTCACAAAAAGCAAAGGAGAAAGATATTTAAAAGGAAAGAACACACATACCTTCCTTGCAAGCTGGGTGGCCATCTGAGACACTGCCACGTGGCCAAGGAGAAGCCACGCCAGCCACTGCTTCCCCCATTCCATCCAGAAGCTCCACTCAAAGTCAGTTGGGTCCTAAATAGATCAAATCAGGAGTTTATCAGAAGGATTTTAGTACATGTCTGAGTCAGAACACAAACTCCCATTAACAAGCAGAAAGAAGGCCAGCGTGTCCAAACTCCGTAAAATGGCACTTATGAACACCAAGTCCTGTCCCCACCCACCCTGTACTCTCCCCTCCAGCTTGGTGGTCTCATTGCCATTCCCCAAAAGCACCCGTCCTTTCTACAACTCAGTGTCTTTCTTAAAGCTGATCCCCCAGGACCCTCTATGGCATAGAAACTATTGATACTTCCATTGTATGAAAGATAAAACAGAGGCTTAGGAACTCAATTCATTTAGCCATTGTCACATGGATAGTACAAGCAACTAACTGAGACTATCCCAGTTTAGACACCTAGATACTTTCACTAACAAGAGAAATGTAAGTTGGACACTAATAAAATTGCTTAAGGTCGACCATGTTAAATCTTGCTGTCATTTATAGGCAGCAGGATAATTTCATAGAGAAATTAACTCATTTCACAAACTTACAATGAAAGAACAAGAGGTACACTCCGGGTCTAGGTAGGACCCCATGTCTACACTGGTACCAGGTTCCACGTCTATGAAGCTCCTGGACAGGAATAGGTGCTCTGATAAGAGTGGCCATGGGGACAGCTGGGAACCAGCACCTAAATGCCACGGCCTCAGGAGCCCCAGGAAAGATGCCGGCGGCCAAGCTGAGCGTAGGGAGAGCACACAGAGTGACTGGCCGCCCTGGAACGGGCAGTGCAGGCTGGGTGCATCTCAGCACCACCTTGGTGGAGCGAGGACTTGAGGCCTCAGAATTTTCCAGCCGAAAACGTGGGTGGGAAAGGAATCCTGCAATGGCCACTGATACTGAACATCTCACCAATTTCTGCAAGTGGAACATGGATGAGGTCCCACTTAACTGGATTTAGAGGAAAATATGGATTTTTTTTTTTGCACCTGAGGATTGTGGGACAATTCATACCAGTTACACATATACTGAAACTCTTTTGTTCGGAAGGTAAAATACAGATAAAATTGACTTTGACCCATATCGGACTATGAATGCAGAGGTAGCAAGGCTAGCAAGTAAGACTGGAGGCTGGATTTGTGTCCCAGATCTGCCCACAGCCTGGCTGCGATGACCTTGAGCATGATACTTAACCTTTCTGTTCTGTTTCTTCGTGACAATAGTAGAGATTTTTTTAGATTTAAATAAGAGCACACGTACATCAAAAGTTTAGAACAGTTCCCAGCACACAGTACTAAGCAGTAGTACCTGCCACTGACTGCTAATCCCACGTGCTTCCTATCCTTTGTGAGCCACCAGCCAAAATTGCATGCTTTACTTTGTGCCACTTGTTAGAAAGAGTTTCCCCATTTTCCCAAATAAAGAAATCCAGTGCTGTGCATTCTCACATGACACATGCTCCCCACACCTCAAGATCCTGATACACACAAAACCTGCTCAAAGAGCCCCTGTCTCCTGCTAAAAATCACAGATCTAGTTGAATTCCTCCTGTCTAGAGACAACTACGTCAGGACCCGGGATGTGCCCACAACCACACAGCCAGGCAGCAGAGAACTCAAACCCTAAACCTGGCTCCTCATTCCTGATCCAGAGCTTACTTCCCCATCTTAAAATTTCCAGATTAGTGAAGACTCAACTAACCAAATAAAGGTAAAAAAGTTCAAAGGTCACATGGTGATGCCATGCTGGTATGAATAAAATACCACTTTTGTAAAAGGGATACAGGTAAAAAGACACTAAAAGCCAATACTGATTTTTTTTTTTTTTTAAATACCCCACTCAAAAAAACTCCAACATTTCAGCTTTTTAAATACAATGTTTTTGAACACAAAGATTAACACTTGGAATTCATGACCTCAGGCTTACCTCTGCCTCAAGACTTCTCGTTTTTTTTTTTTTAAAGGGAGAAAAAAAGGATATAACACTACAAAAAAAGGCTCTTTTCAAGACTCAGGACTACTGAAAACTCTGTGCTGGTAAAATTCCATCAACAAAAACGACACACGGTCTCTCGCCACTAATTCTTTCAGAAAATATAATTTAAAGGAAATAAAAAATGTCTCCCTCCTGTCTATCCTTCTTAATTTATTCTTCTCAACAAAGTAGTCACCTGAAAGAAATGACCAGGCAGAAAAGCTGAGCAATGAACAGAAGAGGAGAGTGAGTGATGTGGATGAGAAAAATGTCGACTCACTGCTTCTAGAAGCAAAAGTTCTGCAGACTCCCAGTTCAATCACACCTTTCAAGGCAAACGTTAAAGCCTCAGGTTAGGAACAACTTCATGTTCTGTTCCTTCTCCCATTTCCTACTTGACCCTATGGTTCTTAGTCAACTAGAAACATCTTCAGTACTGTAAGGGGGTCAGGTATAAGGGGTATATCCTGGCCAGGAAGAGCCAGGAGGGCTCCCTGGAGGAAGGGGAGGCTGTACTCAGGGAAAGTAATCCACATCCAGCTTGTTGTTATCAGTGCTTCTCACACTTCAATGGGACCTCTTCATAAAATGCAGATTGTGATGCCATAAATCCGGGGTGGAGTTTAGGATTCCGTATTTCTAATAAGCTCGCAGATGATGCAATGCTACTGGCCTGGGGACCACACTTTGAGTAGCAAGGATCTACACAATTACACCTTTACAGCTGAATGTGCATAAACTCAGAACTCTTAACAGCTCTGACACTGACCACCTAACACTCGCCAACAGAGCAATCACCGCCCTGTTCATCCTTGAAAGCTCTGAGCGCTTAGCTTTAAGAATTCACCGGACTGGATAAATTTACAAATGTAGTTGTTTATTCTGAGGCTTGCAATCTGCATCCAGGCGATACTGAGAGCTCCGAGGGACACAATAGTTCTGGATCTCTTAAATAGTAACTGACTTCCTGGCGAAACACTGTTTTTCCTATTCTGAACAAAGGAAAGGGAGCAGGCCTGATGTTCTTAACTGCCTCTTTTCCCACACATAGCAGCGTTCTACCCTAGGCTGGAAACACACGAATAGAGTTCCTCAGCACGAGGAGCTCAAGATCTGAATGGGGAGGCCCTCAGCCCCAACACCACCACACCCCACAATCAAGACACACTGGAAACCAGCAGCAAGGCAGGAGAGGCGACAGCAGTATAATTTAACCACATATACAGTAGTCATGAAACTGACCGAGGCCTCTCCTTTCTCCCCTTACGATCGCCGATGCACATTCTGGGTATGTGTTTTCTAGTTACAACCTCAACAATCCTTAAAGTAGTTTAATTAATAGATTTTCTCTTTCAGAGCAGTGTTAGGTTCGCAGCGGAATTGAGCGCAGTGCACAGAGAGTTCCCATGTACCCCTGTCCCCTACATGCACACCCTCCCCCACTACCAACATACCCCAGCAGAACGGAGCATTTGTTACACCTGATGAAGCTACACTGACACATCATTGTCACCCCAAGTCTGCAGTTTACTTTAGGGTTCACTGTTGGTGGTGTGCATTCTATGGGCTTGGACAAACATGTAAGGACGTATATCCATCACTACAGTATCATACGGAGTATTAATCGTCTCCCTGCCCTATAATTCCTCTATGCTCCACCTGTTCATCACTCTCCCCTACCCAACCCCCCAACCCCTGGCAAACACTCATCTTTTTACTGTCTCCATAGTTTTGCCTTTTCCAGAATGTCATATAGTTGAAATACAGTTTCATTTTTGTTTTTTTAACTCCATGTTACAGATGAGTTAACTGGAGGGTCAAAGAAAGCAAATTATTTGCCCAGACCTAGTAAGGGGCGGAGATGGGTTTCAAACCAAAGCCTGTCTGATGCTAATGAGGAAAGTCTTTTCTAAGATGTTTCTACCTGCCCTGGTCCCTCTACCTGAACTGCCCTTCCCTCCACAAGCAACACTACCTGACCAAATAATCCATCCTAGAGGGTGCCTGTCATCAATGCCCCTGTAACCACAAAGCCAGCCTGGTGACATGCACAAAATAAGTACTCAATAACTGGCACAATCCAAATGTCAGCTTGAGACTGAAGCCTTCCCACCACCCCACCCCCTGCACCCCCTTTCTCTGTCATCCACATCTCAATTCTAGAACTTTCATTGGAGCATATTTATTATATTACTTTTATTCATGTATTTTCTCTCCCAGGGAAAAATGGTACATTCCCTGAGAGCAAGAACCTTTGACTTAAATCAAACCTGTATTACACACATCCAACATTCAGGAAACCTTTGAATGGTAAGGCAGGCGGGAGGGAGCAGAGAAACCAGCAGCCTCAGTTCTCGTCCCATTTCTGCCCCTGTTTAAACTTGGGCAAGTCACTTAACTATGTGGACTCGAATTTCCTTGTTTGTGAAATGAAGGGCTGAACTAGCACAATATCTAAGATTCCTTTCAGAGAGCAGGAAAAAACAGTTACTTCCCAGGCTAGAAGAGAGAAATACTAAGACAGTGCTGTTCACCCACCCATAGACTGAGTCCTGCCCGAGAGGGGGTGGTGATCTCCCCTTCTCACACCCCTGTGTGACCAGGGCAGAAAGCTAAAAGAAAAAATTCCTGGCATATGAGGAATTACACTATCAACTCACCACTGAGCAAATCTTTCCTCCTTCTGGGCTTGAATTCTCATCACCCTTAAACCTCGCGGGACTGTAACACTCTCACTCCCAGCCTCTTAGCTGGGGGCTGCATCGTTACACAGGGAGAGGGGGCTAAGATTTTGGTTCTGTGCTTTTTGCTTGCATTCCCCAGATAACACTGAATTAAGCCACAGACTTGAAGCCGATTTTCCAGCTGAAAACAACACAGACACGTGGCTAATAAGGCCAGGTCGATAGACTATGATGCTAAAGTACCAAGTGCCAAGTAGAAATGTCAAGGCCCCCATCGAGATGCCCCAGGTAAAGAAGTTCACCCCGCAGCCAGGTCAGTTACACCAAGTCCACACTAGCTCTTCAACCCAGATCTCCGCGTCCTGCTAGTTATC